AAAAAAAAAAGTCACAAAATAAAAGAATTTGTAAATGCCAAAAGCAACACTAAACTGCCAGTGCCACTGTAGAGTGAATTTTTAATTGCACAGGCAAAGAGGCAGGCGGCCGGCATTAGCCTCGCATATGTCTTGTGGCCGCCAACCTGGGAGTGTAGACGAATTTAATTAAATAAGGATTATCCCTTCTCCCCAGTACAATTACTTATTTATAACAATGATAAAATTGCCTAATAAAAAATGGCCATATTTTAAAAAACAAGGCTAGAAAATACCCTGCTTCGCGTGGAAGTCGTTCAGGGCTGTTGGAGTGTGCGTGCGTCTTTTAAAATGAAGTCTATGCCTACTGCCAAGGAAAGAAAAAAAGAAAGGCAAATAAAATAAAATAGAAAAACAAAATGAAATTAAAAAAAAAAACACACAACCCTTACCACAAAGCCTGCTGCTGTTAAACAGCCAGACACTAGATGGTGGGAAAATATAAAGAAGATACAGAGCAGCAAAATGGAGATTGGCTTCTGTGAGGAGCGCAGGAAATTAAGCAAAATCAGATTCAAATTGAGGCTAGAGACTGGAGTCAGGTTGAGGGAGTTAGGGGACAGGGTCACCAAAGCCTGTCCATCAGCACTCTGCTCCTCCTGTGTCTTGTGAGCAGTCCCCTCCCTTCATCTGGCCTGTCTGTCTTCCAAACATATGTGCTGATTCCCTGAAAAGAAATAACCCCACCAACCCCCTAATCACAGCAGAAGAGAGGAGCCTTTGCCCTCCAGCCACAACAGAGTCCTCTCATGCTTCCAACCTCTACCATAGGGAAGGCCTCTGCACCACCCAGAGAGTGAGCTAGGCCTGCTGAAGTGGATGCAGTATTTTCTGAGATCTGTGGCCTCGGTTTCTGTTATTTTTGAGCAGCTGTGCCATGGAGTAGCTTTTCTGGGTTAAGGTTAAGGTGAGTCCTCAGACTTTGTGACCAGGGCTATCATCGGTCAAGGTCAGTCATCGCTCTCAAGGTCATTCACAAGGCAACCAGAACTGAGAACAGTCTGCCGCTCTGCACTGTGGCTGCAGGAAGCTTTGGCCTCTACCTTACTTTCCTCATCTGTGCAAGGGGTGTGGTTGTCACAAGGACAGGCCTCTATGAGTCCCTGCAGCCTCGGCTCGCAGGAGGATAAGCTCTTTAACAGATGCCAAGCATCGGAAAGAATGCTTCAGCAAGGCTCGCAGAGCAGGGGCCAGCTCTTTCCTGGGTATGAGCATCGTTCTCTTCATCATCACTCAATAATTGATTGGTATTTCTTGATACCTACAAGTTCTCTTCCTCCCATTTGTATTAAATGAGAGTTCATTCAATATTTGCAGAATGCATGAATTCAGGATGGAAGAAAGGACTAGACTTGAATTCAAAAGATCCTGGCTTGAATTTTGGTTCTCCTTTTTTTGCCAGCTGTGTAAATTTAGGCAAGTTGGTTAATCCATTGAGCTCTAATCTCTAAAAGGGAAACTGTAGTGTGGTGATTGTTTCAAGGAATATAACTGAAACTGCTCTGGACCCTGTGTCAATGATTAATACACAAACATTTAACAACTCCTCAATAAGAAGTGTAGTTGATCTACACTCTGAAGCTACTCCACAGACTCCATGTTTATTCAGGTAAAGCAGCTTTCTGGGAACAGCTGCTGGAGGGAGGTTAGAGCTTGTTACATGAAATACCTAAGTCTATGTTACTAGCATTCACTGTATCTGTAAACACTAGGCACCAATTAATAGATCTGGAAAATATATACAACTGGATACATTCCTTATTTACAAATACAGTCCATTCTCTCTAATCACTGGTTGTGCATCTGCAGATCCAACTGATTATGCATGAAAAAATGCAACTCCACAATAAAAACAGCACAACTGTTTGCATATTATTTACACTGCACTTGGTATGGTAGGTAATCTGGAGCAGATTTCAAGTTTACCAGAGCATGTCCATAGGTTGTATGAAAATCCAACATCATTTCCTACAAGGCACTTAAGCCTTTGTGAACTTGGCATCTACCAGGAGGTGCTGAAACAAACCCCCACAGACACCAAGGGATAATCCTTCTGAATCCCCAACTAGGAACATAATCAAATATGCCACCTCGTATGTTACAGTATATATCATATAATATCATATATGCATATAATATGTCTTATCATGTAATGTTGCATTTAACTTAGTTTGGGAGTTTAGATGAGTAGGAGGGCCCAGTAAACATGAAGCCATGAGCTCAATCCCTGTACCCCACAAAAAGGGAGGAGAAGTGGACAGACAGACACCATGTGTGATGTGGTCATGGGGGGGAGGTTCCTGCATGCCGAGAGTTCTGCAGCAGGCTCCTGCATGCAGTGGGTTGCTGCAGTGGGTTCTCACATGCAGAGGGTTCCGGCAGTGGGGTACCCAGAGTAGGGTTCCTGCAGTCTGGCACAGGGCTAGGGATCCAAGGTAAAGAAGACAAGGGCTGTATCTTCCAGTGTGGCACAGTTTTGCATAAGAGAGGAAACACAAGCATGTCCTTACAGTTTCTCCAGGTGAGACCAATAGGGATGTCATTTTCTGAGCATAGCAGACACAAAGGGAAGGAGGAGGAAGAGAAGCAGGGCAGAATAACTTGCCTACTTAAGGAAAGAGAAAGGTGTGCTAGTTAGTACTCAGCCCCTTTGAAATGACATCAAAATGAGACCAGGACAGAGTGAATACACAGAATCCAGTGTCTGGGGGTAAGTGGCGAGAAAGAAGATCCACCAGAAGACAGAATGTAAATGATACACATTTCCTTCCCTGAGTCTGCTTTGAGCAAAACTACAATTTACTCTTACTAAGTCCTTGGAAATATCCAATGCGTAAACATGAAAATTTAGAGTTATTCTCCTGATGATAGTAACTCATTTCAAAGATGCATGAGCACACAACGAGCTCCGTGGCCTTAATCTGGAATAAGACAACACTTTTTACTATATGTTAGACTGGAGCTCTCTACATTTCAAGTTCTTCATCTAACACATGCAATAACAATAGTGCCTCAGGACAGGACAAGTGCACTCCTGCAGTCCCAGGTAGGAGATTGGAGATCACAGTTTGAGGCAGGACCTGGCAAAAAAAAAATTAACAAGACCCTCTCTGGAGAATAAATTGAAAGTCAAAAGGTCTGAGGGCTTGGCTCAAGTACCAGAGCATTTGTCTAGCAAACACAAGGCCCTGGGTTAAAATCCCAGTACAATCAAGAGAAAAAAATAGTGCTTCCCCCAGGGGATGAATTAAGGTCTATAGAAAAGTACGCCTTGCAATGCACATGTGTTTTTTCTATAGGGTGAAGCTGCTCTGTGAGTGATCTCTCTGAAGGCCTCTTACTGCTTGAGGTTCAAAATTCACCTTCCTACCTTCCCTCAGAGGCTGGCACAGGAGCCCACAGCAAGGTGGTAGTGAATGTCTGCTTCTACCTGCTCTCTTTGTACACGTGATGAGGTAATGGTTTGCCATCACCTCCCCTGGTTCTGGTTTCTAGGTTCCGGTCATCCTGAACTGAACATCAAGGATGGGTTGTCTCCCTGGGGGCTCACGTGTGTGTGTGTGTGTGTGTGTGTGTGTGTGTGTGTCTCATTTATACATCTTATAGATCTCAAAGCAATGACTTGTATACAATCATCCTTTCCTCATTAACTTGACTGATTTGTTCTCAGTCTTATTTTTCTTAGGTGAGGAGCACTTTGGACTATTTTTTGAGGCACGGTATTGCTAGCTGGCTCTGAACGCCTGATGCATGTACCACCAACCTCCCCCCATGCACACACACATGCAGTGTTTCAGAAAGTAATAAAATCCTATTTGTTGTCTAGATTTTATCCATTATGCAAGCCATCACCTGTCTTAGACCACAATCTCCATTTGCATAAATTCCCAAATATTTCTTTTTGGAATCATTGGGATGGTTTACACGATATCGTAGGCCTCTTAATTGAATGTCAAGGAAGGCAGTTCCTACTGACAAGGGGACTCCAGCTTCACTGAGAAGCATTCAATTAGATGGAAAACAGCTGCTTATTTTTGTCTTCTAAACCTCAACGCAGGTTATGTGGTAATTACTTAGAAGAGCAGGATAACAATTTATGTAATCAGCAGGACCCTATAATTACTAATGCATAATTTCCAAACAGCATTTAGCAAAATGAGGCCCATACATACACTTTGTAATGGAAAAGACATGTTTGATACCATACTAAATTAAATTAAAAATTTGCATATTTTCTTCCAGGAAAGGCGCTAGCTTTGCCTGCTCTGTTTTGCTTGACTCATCTCTGCCTATCTCCAGCTCCATAAAGGATCTAGGAAACGCTGAATCATGGAGCTAGTGCATGAGAGGAGAATGGTGGGGGAGTGGGGGACAAGGGGTGGGGAGGCGGGGAGAAAGGCTCCTTCTCTGTTGTTCGGGATGACAACAAACAACAGTGCATCCTTTCAGGATGGGACTTGTAAAGTTACATCCGCGCAATTTGAGTATATCAAGTTTGACATTGGGGTCATGCAAAATGTAGAACGAAAGGACTAGTAAAGAATTTAACATTTTCCCACACTTATCTCACTCGGACAGATGGAGAATTGGAAGCCCAGGAAAACACTAGGACTTCTACAATATGGGCGCTGTAGGCAAAAGAGGAGGGAAGAACTTTTTCTAGTTCCTTTTGGTCTTGTGTGAAATCCATTGGCTCTGGTACAGTCAGAGTAAACACGTTGCTGTTAGACAAGCCACTCACCCTACCAGTCCTGGAGATAACAAACCTCTTTCTGGTATTTTAACATTTCCACATACATTTGCTCAAGACTAGGCTTTGACCATCCCCAAGGATGCGCAAATGTAGGACGCTTTGCAGAGATGAACGAAGCTGTGAACACACTGAGAAAGACAGGCAGCAATTGTTTCACTCTTTTCGTAAAAAATCACATACAGAGTCTCGCCCTACAAAGGGCTCCTACCTGCCGTCCCTGAGGTCAGGTTGAGGACGCTGCCCATCTCTTCCTCAAAGCTCTGCACCTATGGTACCAAAGCACATCAACTCATTAGAGATTTCTTTAGAAAAAACTCCCTTGTTCAGTCAACATATAAGGAGTGTCCATGAGCAATAATTGGCAAGAGGGATAAAGTTGCAGAGCTTCTTCAGTCAAGTAACTTGTCTCTGCTGGTGCCAAGGACAAGACCCCATGAGGAAATTTCAAACAACAAGATCAAGAGAGGAAGATCACATCTGGGTACAGGACCCAGGCTTCTTTCTGGAAGATGTGCTTTTGAACCAAATGTAAGCAACAATATCATTACGCTGGACTCCTATATTGTTGCCAAACAATGTTAGCTATATTTAGAGAAAGTTTGTTAATGATGGCTCAATATACTTAGGGGGAATCATTTAGGAAATTCAGTTATTATATAGTGCTTAGGTTAAAAACAAAACATCATTTTCCAGATTGCCAGAGAAGAATTCTTGAAAGTTTTTTGAAAAAAATAAACTAATAAATAGTAATCAATTAAGAAGAATAAAACTATTGTTAAGGCCAAGTTATTCATACTGTTTAAATGTACTAAAACATCTTACTATAGAAACAAACCATATAGAAAAAGTTTAAGAGGTCAGAAAACAGTTAGAAGCTAACATTTTGGGAAGAAATTGTGCTAGTATCTCTTTACAATGGTCTGGATATAGTGGCACCATCAAACATTTTATGGGCATTATGGAGGGGAGCTGAGCTCCTCCACCTTATACCCAGAGCAAATACCATTTTTAGTGATGCACAGGCTGCAATTTGAAGGTACATTCATTTGTGTAACATTTCTCTAACTTCCAGAATTTTCAAAATTTTTTTGCAAGGGTAAAGAATGCTGACTCCCTTTCTACTCGTCAAATTGGACTGACTGATGTCTGAATATTGGGAGCAGAATCAAGGACATGACTAGGGGGAAACGACAGAACACGAATACTTACCTCTTCCATTTCAAAGGAGTCTGGTGCTTTCCCCGCAAGATGAGGCGAGTTCTTGGGCTTGCTTGTGTAAATCCAGTCCTTCTGGGTTCTGGCTCTGACTGACATCTGGGGTACCCAGGGAAGAGGAGACTGCCTGGCCAGCACGGAGGAGCCAGGCTCCAGGGAGGCTGGTGGAGGGTGATAGGGAGTCCAGGTATCGCAGATTTGGACAGAATGAAGCTCTGTCAAAGAAGACTTGTGGTCTTGGCTGTGGCTGATGGAGGCCATTGGTAACTCTGCTCCATAATCCCACTGTTTGGCTGAGGTGGTAGGAAACCCATTCTCCATCCCTAATGCTTCAGGGGCCTCTAGTTTGCATATCCTCCTGGTGTCCTGCCTTGAAGCTCTCCTCAAAAGTCGGCTCATTCGTTTTCGAGGCTCTTGAGCTCCCCTTGCTGAAGTCTTCTGCACCCCCTGCCCTCCAGCTTTCTCTCCAGTGTTGCTCTGTAGTGCGTTAACGTCATGCAGCAAAGAGGAGAAGGCACTGGTCACGCGGTCCAGGATTTCCAGCTGTCGGAACCGGCCTGAAGAACACAGAAACACCATGGCTTTAGACTGTGTCTTTCAACAGAGATGCACTGGTGTGGTGCTGTACAAGTGGTAAAATTAAAGAGAGGGGTCCTTGGATTTCTCAGGTACAGAAGGCAGCTAAGCTCTTGATAAGGATTTCTCAGTAATGCCTTTGTCCTATCAAGATGGTCCCCTGTGCTGTGCCAGGGGCAGCGAAACACCTTGGTAGGTGAATTTGAGTAACCCCTGGATTTTAATGTGTCAACGCATTAGAAACTCCAAGTATATGGGAATCTATAAACTTGGGTGTATTGCAATGAGTGCAAAAACATCAACTGGGCAGTTTCAGTGTGAAGTTGCTTGAGTTCATCCCTGTGACCACATACTTGAGGAAAACAATGTAAAGAAAGAAGGATTCATTTGAGCTCATGGTGTTGGAGATTTCTGTTGAGGGAAGGTCTCATGGTAGAGAGAACACGTAACAGAAGTTACTTGCTTCATGGGGGACAGGAGGAAGAGAGAGGAGGGGTATAACCTCCAAAGACATGCCACCAATGAGGTAGCACCCACTTCCCCAAATAGTGCTGCCAGCTCAGGACAACAGCAGTCAACAGAGGAGCCTGTTTGATGGTTTGACATTTCATAGTCAAAACATCACAGTATCTCCCCGCCCTCTCCCCCCAGCTTGGTGTGAAGATATCATCATCATCATCATCATCATCATCATCATCATCATCATCATCATCATCATCACCATGGCCTCCATCATTTCCATTTCCCAGTCAAGGGCCTGCACACAGGGTTACATGGCTCTGCAGAAGTCAAATTGGAGGAGGCAGCAGGCCACCTCTCATCTATCATTCACACCATCCCTGCCATGTCACCAACTAACACCCTGGCACATCTTGGGGCTGACCTGTGTCTTTCACCTGTGAGGAGGAGTTCTTGACTCATCATCCTTCGATTCCACAAATGTGATGCATTTTTCACAGAGGATTGTGTGATCCATTCAAGACCTCTAGGAACTACAGGGTTTGAAGCTTCGGAATAAATCTGATTATGTTCTTCCCCCAAATAAAGCTTATTTGAAAGCAAATCTGTTTTGTGAGCTGGGGGGCATGTCTGAATTACAATATAGCTTTTATGATTGTCTCCTCTCCCTCTCAGAGCAGGTTTATGCAGTTAGTCTAAGACAAAAACCTATCAATTTAATTGGTTCAGTCAATTCTCAAAGCACAACAGTCTCAGATGACTGTTCTATTTCTGCCTGTGGGTAAACTGAATGATGGACTAATTGATTCTTACCCTCCAGTTTAAACCTTTTATATTGACTTTGAATGCGACATCATTTCCCATTCTGTCTTTTGAACAGCCAACTAACTTTGTTATTGCCTGTTTTACATCTGACCTTCTCAGCTTTCTTGACTCCAAAAGTGTGGTGGTAAGTGTTATGTGGAGGAAAGCAGGGAGGTCCAGTGCTTATGGGATTGCCTCCAGCTCCTCATGCAGGCAGCTGCTTCTGCTGGGCCTGTGAATGAACTACAAATTGGACTCTCAGCTCCTGCTTTGTGGATGAGTTTGTTGAGATGAGCCCTTTCCACCTGAAGTCACTTTGCAATCACCTTGGGCTCACTTTGGAAAGACCAGATTCACCAATAAACATCTGATGATGTAAGGCAATTGGGCCCCGCGTGTCCTTTTCTTGTGGCAAAAGGTAAACCTGTTTATTCTCCCTATTTAACATGAGGCCAATGTCTATTCTCCCAAAGTTGTCTGAAGATGTCCTGAGGTGGTCTTCCCATGGCTGCCACGGAACTAATCTCCTCTCTCTGCCTTTCACCATGTCTCTATTTGGCATATGGGGGTGAGTGGTCAGACCTAATTAAGACTCCCAGACTTTGGGCCTGGAGTCTACCAACCCAGGGTCACTAGCTCTCTATAATCCCTGGGTTGATTTCATCTGTAGAATGTTTACTTCAAAAACTCAGGTGGAAGCCATGCTTCCAGGAGAGAGAGGCAGCAAGGACCAACATTAGTTGCTTCTGAGAGGTGAAGAAATGGCATTTTATCACTTTTGTGTTACTCCCTCTTCTTTAACCATCTCACCACTGAGATTTTGAGTGAGATTTCACCTACCTGAAAATCGAGAGACCGAAACTCAGATGTCAAATCCAGGTGAAGTGTCTGTTCCAGATAATCTTGAGGAAAGCATTTCATTTCCCTCGATTTTTTTCCATCCAGGGACCTTATTTATTGACAATACTTGAGTTTGGAAATATAACTTTGTTTTTTCCTCATCTGAAACTCTCAGACTCTCTTCCCTAAAGATGTGCCTTGTAGGTAAAGGTGGATAGATTGCAATGATTGGGGAAATGCTGCTACCTCCCCTCTACACCCCAGAGCTGAATATGTGTGTTAGCATATTAAATAAATCCTGTAATAAAACAAGCCTGTGCTGGGCACTGGTGGCTCACACCTGTAATCCTAGCTACTCAGGAGGCTGAGATCTGGGGATCATGGTTCAAAGGCAGCCCAGGCAAGAAAGTCTGTGAGACTCTCATCCCAATAAACCACTCAGAAAACCGGAAGTGGTGCTGTGGCTCAAGTGGTAGAGTGCTAGCCTTGAGCTGAAGAACTGAGGGACAGTGCCCAGGCCCAGAGTTCAAGCCCCACAACCAACACAAAAACAAAAACAAAATACAAGCCTGCTCAGCCTTAAATCATCTTTTCCCTAATTTGGGGAGGGGCCACAGTATACATACTCCAAAGACATACTTAGAAAAAGCCCAGAGAACAGAGTCCTTGGACAGCCAATTGGAGAAGTAGAGCAGTGCACACTTGCCATAGGAGTCAGGCATAGTAAATCCACAGGCTTGCAGGCATAGTGTAGTCCTAACTGCCTTCCAGTGGGCCACTCCCCCCAGTGACACTGAGAGGTCTGTCATGTCCTAGTTGTGTGTGTGGGAGATGTGAGCATTTGGCAGTTTTACCAGTTTTTACCAGTTTTCTTCCCTCTGGGTGTACAGCAACATTGCAGATTCCGTTCACTTGAGATTATGTGGCCGTCTGACTTGTTTGGGCCAATGGAATCTGAACAGACCTGAGAAGTTTAATTATGAGCAACTAGTCACTGCAACTAATGATGCTGCAGATTGAGGGGAGCTGGGGCAAATCTTTCAGGGAGGATCTGGGGAGCAGATGGGTCCTGATCCAAGACCTACACAGCCAATCACAACAGACATGCAATAGACCATCCCAAGACACCACAGTAGAGAGTCAGCTGCTACCACACACATAGCCAGCTGGCTCAGCCTGTCTGACGATGAGGTATGCTTGGTCCACTCATTGCTATTCTGAGGAGTTAATGCCCTGTGATCCTCACTTACCATACAAGTTAGGGTTCTCCACATCCATCCGTTGCTTCTGAGCCTCAAGAAATACATGGATGTCGATTCCTCTGGCAGCTGAGCCACAAGTGAGGAACCTGGCTGGGATCTGTGTGCAGATATCTGGCTCGTCAGTACCAAACCCCAGATCCAAGAGAATGTCCACTGGATCTTTTTCCCAAAACTCCAGCCATTCTGGAATGCTGGGATAAAAATATAGATAATTTTATCCAATAGAACCTCATTTTGTTTCTAATCATCCAATCTTTCAAAATGAAGAGAAATGAACTTGGACAAATAAACAGATGGTGGACTGTATAGAACTCTTATATTGTCACCTAGAGGACAGTCGGCCACCCCACTCCTGGGGCTCAACCAACCATTCTGTGAATGTGTCCATCTGGTTTTTCCTTTCCTAGAGAGCAAATGGAAAGTTGAAAGATCCAGGGAGATTGAAGAATAGAAATCAAAAAGAGTGCATTAATAACCACCAAGAAAAAAACGGATAGCAGAAGAGGAAACAAGAAAAAAAAAGCCGTGAGCAGGAGACTCAAATAAGAATATTTTTAAAGAGTATAGGTCTGTGGCTATGCAAATCTGTCAAGGATATTACTGAATTCAGACTACAAAGATTCATATTTCCAAACAATTTTTTTAAGTTTTTAGATGGAATTAAATACTTTTTGTATTCTCCTTTATTCTTTGAACTGGCTGTAATATATGAAATACTTCTAATCAAATTGTTCTGGTCTGCTTTATCACTAAAACCAAGGAAACCACTTATGACTACCAAGCCACTTTTCTATTAGTAAGTCTGTCTTGGATTTGAGCTTTTAAAATTGCTAGGCTCTATGAATTTTTGGTACAGATTTTACCAAGTTAGCTTCTACCTTACATGCAACACTAATGAGTTTATCTGAGATGGTTTAGATCATTTCTCTATGATGATAGCTATTGTCACGGGCAGGCCATTCACCCACACCACTATCTTCATGTTCTCATTCCTAATAATGTGACAGAGCAGTGGGTATTCTGGTGCTCTAACACCTGATTCAATCAAGGAAGAAAAGATAGGCAGGGAGCCTCTGTGAGGACCTTATCTGGCATGGCCCAGGATATCCTAATCACTGAAGTTAACTGGAGGTCACCATATTGACATGAAAATCTTAATATAAAATTGAATCAAGAGAGGGGGAGAAACTCCAGGGACGAATCTAATTTGCACATGGAAGATTTAATCTATTATCCTACCGACCGCATTGTACAAACTTTTATTCAATCTATTTAGACAAATATTTATTGAACATCTGTCACGTTCTGAGCTGTAATGCTAGGCACAAGGCGTAAAAATTGACATCGATAGTCCCTATTTTGACAGACTAAAGATTAGTCATATGGCCAATAGTATAATTATCGATTGGTTTGTCATAAAATATTTGCATATTATTATGAAAATACTATTAAGTTTGAATTTATATTTGAGTTGTGCAAAAACATTTAAAATATACTAACTTGAAAATACATCATAAATGCTTCTCTTTCTTCTTAGTCCACCATCCCCATTCTTAACCCTCTCCCTGCCAGTCCACGGGTGTTTTTCCAAACACCTTTATAAGTACTTACACATGTGCTTTGTAGAACTCATTTGATTTTAAAAAATAGTAACATAACCTATATATCTTTGAGGACCTTACTTAAAAAATTGAAATAAAAAATGTAATATATGATATGAAGATCTCTCTCGAAGCGGGAGAGATAAGGTGTGTGTATTTCCAATAGATTGAGTCCAGAGATTTCTGGGCTTTGTATTGCTGATTGAATTCTATCAAATGGACTAACCAATCATTTGTCTCTCAAGTTTCCCTTAACAGATATATATTCTGGTTCCAATTTTATTTAATCATTTATACTGTTCTGTCAGAGCTGAGAAATCCTTTTTTGTCTAGTCTTTCATCCATTCATTCCAGGAGTATTTTCCAAGTGTTTACTTAGCATGTGGTGACATCCGCTGTTGTGCAGAATCACCCCTATGGAAGCAGGAGCCTTGAGTCACACACCTTTGTGGCACACTTGTGGTAGAATGGCAAGAATTGAAACTGGTCCCTCTGGACAGGCTGGGTGTCTCTGAGAGCTGGTGCAGAGATCTGCAGGGGAACAGGGGGCAGCAAAGATGAATTGCATGGATTCTGGCCAGTACCACTGTCTTCCTTCCAGAGCCAAACATGCCCATTACTTCCTAGTTACCAGCAGCCCCATAAATGGCCACAGCTTTGATGGGGAAGCCTGTAGCCTGGGGGACTGTTTCTCCTTTCAGAGCCATGTGCCACCGAAGGTGGGAGAATGTTAAGTGATGGGGTGGGCTTGTGCTCAGTATAAAGGTGATGGAATGTCTCAGTGGGGGACATTTCAGAAACACATTTTCGCTAGACTTCAACTTGGAGGAAAAGTTAAAATTATGACAGCGGAAGAGTGACCAGCCTCCGGGGTGCCTTCATGTTGACCCCACCCAGATCCAACAGCAACAAACCCCTCTACCACCAAAAAGAGTATCATTCTATCCAATAGGTCAGGCCCTTCTGAAGAGAATAGGCCCACGCTGTAATGCAATGCAGTTTCCTATAGCTCGTCTCTACCAGAGACCACTTCTCCCATCATCAAGTAGAATAGATGCTTGGCAAACATTTAGAATTTATCAAAGAATCCAGTGATGTTATCAATATCCCCAAGGAAATGAAGTTACATGATTTGCTTTCACCTTCTCCACATTTAGAAAGAGTACGTGGAACTTGCGTCTTTGTCTAACTGCTGCTGTCATTAAAGCTGAGGAAGAATGTGAGCAGAGGCAGAAAAGATTCCTGTGCTTAGGGCCTCCCCTCATAATTTAGTTTTTCTTCACAATATGAAGGTCACTTCTTGGTTTTTGTAGGACTCAGCAGAGCTACCCAGCTGTTAGCCTTACATCCAGAAGAATTCATGCGTGCTAGCATGGCTAAACCACGAACTAGCCACTGAACCCACTTCTCATTTTCCTCTTTGAAAAGATAAATGAGTTGTGTGGGAGATTTCTGTGGTCCCTTCCAGCTCTAGGAGTAGCAAACCAATCCTTTAATGGGGTGGGGGAATCATGAAGAAGGACAGAGAATGGCATATTTGGTTTTATCCAGCTGGGATATTCCTAAAAATACAAGGATGACGAAGGTGCAGGTGTGAAATGCCTCACCTTAAAGCTCTGGTCCACTAGGACGTCCGATTTAAGAGTGTGTATCAGAAAGGCTTGGAGGATTTCCAAAAATTGACCAGACTCTGAAAACAGCCTGCTCTACTAGGGGACTCTCTGCTTTCCAAGGAACTTCAGGAACTGTATGTCTTCTCATCCAGAAACAAAATGATGTCCACCAACATTGGCAACATGAAAATGTGAATGTGGCTTTAAGGAACTGTAGCATTGTAGTAGAAGGTCATTAATACATAAACTCTCATTAAATCCCCAGCAAGACAGTAATTGTTGATTTCATTTGCTGATCTCTTTACATTTAGAGAAACTATTTCTCTCAAAGGTGAGTGGAAAAGAAGAATGTTCTAGGCCCGTGGCTAAACCAGCAACATTCTATGAGTACCCAAGATCTATGGTATCAGTAAGAAACTTTCCTTCAAGATGTGGCTGCAGAGTATTGGAGTAATTAGCTTTGATTCTTCTACCTACCTCATGTAGTCTTTCACTGTCATTTGAACCATCCCTTCTTCATGCAAAGAACCTGCAAAAACAACAATAAAAAGTATTAGAAGACCGGCACTGTTGGCTCATGCTTGTAACCCTAGCTACTCAGGAGGCTAAAATCTGAGGATCATGATTTGTAGCTAGCGTGGGCAGGAAAGTTGTGAGACTCTTATTTCCAGTGTACCACCAAAGACTTAGCATTTGCCACCATCTCCCATCCATTGGTATCACTGAATCCTCCCAAAAGTCTTTTAACTTATGATCTTATGTCTTATATAAAGAATCTGAGACTAAGAGGTTAGTGATGAGTTTGGCATCATACAATCAAAAGTACCAGCTAGAAGGAATTATGAATGCCTGTAGCACAGGTTAGAGTAACAATATTATTTGTTGAGCCCTAACTTTGTGCAAGGGAAGGTCTCAACCTGTTACATGTACAGTCTTTCCATTCTTGACAGAAAAATCCATAAAATAGGTATGTTGGAAAACAGAGTCAGTGAGATTAAATGAATTTCTCATGGCAAATAAAATGTACAGCTTATTTTAGTTTGTTGTTGCCTCATTTCTTTATAAAACATCACACAGGCAACATAATGTCTTGTAGTTTATTTGAAAACCAGATAAGGAAATTTATGTGTATTTGTCAGGACATGGAGAACCATGAAAGGTTTTAGAGCAATCAAACATAAGAAAGGTGACACTGAGAGTCTAGCATGCTAGTGCTGGGGATACGTTTGGAAGCCAGAGAGGTGCTGCAGTATCATACCTGTGTTGTGACATAGGGTGTGGCCAATTTCTACCAGAGGCAAGTTTCAGAATGTGTACAAACTTCCCAGAAGTCCCAGTCTTCTCTTTCCTGTCTGTCCTAGCTACAAATATGTGAGAATTCATAAAGCCAGGAAGCATTTCCCTCCTGCTCTTTTAGGAGAAGATGAGGTTTTATATAACTTGGGAGAAACTGTGGACAAACAAAGTGAAATGATTGAAATATATGAAGATGCTGAACATAATAAAGGACATTAGTTTAGAGACAAGATTCCTGTCTGGGTAGGGTGTCCACTATAAACCGCAAGGTGTCTGTGCGCTTGACTGTCAATTTCAAATTTGGGGAACGGAGATAGGAATTTCCATAATATTTCTTTCATTTTGTGGTGTGTATGTGTGTGTATGTATGTGTGTGTGCGCGCACGCTTACACACACGCATATGTGCATGAGATGGTGTTGAGGATTAAATCCAGAGCATTGCAAATGGGGGCAAGTACTGCACTAATGAGCTACCTTGCCAGGCCTTTTTTGTTTGTTTATTTCACTTTGAAATATGTCTTACTATGTAGTGTAGGCTGACCTCATACTCATAAGCTTCCTGCCTCTATTTCCTGAGTGTTTGGATTATAAGCATGTACTACTAGTTCAGAAATATTTGTAATTTTAAGATTTTTAAAGGCTCAGTTACCCTGATAAATGGAAATAGAAGACTGGTCTAGGGAGATAAAAGACTGGAGCAATATTGTTGAGATGTGAGTGAATAAAGGATTCTTAACTGCACCCAGAATGTCTAATCATAATTTAGAGGGCTAATGCAAGTACAGATATAGTAAATCTGCCCTATAAAACAAATGAAACTCCAGCACCACTTGGGTCAGAGCCCAAAATGTGAGTCCATTTCAAAGGCTATGTGGAGAAACAGAATATATATAATCTCTGCATAAAGCTCCCAGTCAGACTGCAGACATCACTAATCAATCACGTAGCTTTTTGTTTGATCCTAGAGGAAAGCCATGAGTATCTGATTGGAATGATTGCATATAACAAAGGCCATTTGTCACAAACCTAATAAGTGAGTCTTTGTGAAAATCAACCATTTCAAGGTATATGCCCAGACCTTTTTTTTTATTGTGAAAATACTGTACAGCAGGGTTACAATTACATGGGCAAGATAATGAGTACATTTCTTATCAAGTATTGTAGCCTCCTCCTTTGTTTCCCCTTCCCCTTCCCTCCTCCCCTCCCCCACCCAACCCTCCTCTCCCCACCACCAAAGTTGTAAAGTTCATTTTCCACATAACGACTCATAATGTCTCATTGTTGCAATAGGTCCACCTGTATCCCTATTTAAATGATTTGTTTTTTCCCTTCCCCTCCACAAATTATAAAAACATCAAATACAGTGAAAGCAGGGGTTATACTGTGGGGGAGGGACATACAAAGCAGAGAAATCATCTTATAAATGTGTTAGAAACAATCGCATGAAAGAAAAAAACATTTAAATACATATCTTAGGGCTCATTTCCCTAACATCAACTTAACTGACCTTTTCTGCTTGACTCAGACATATACTAGTTATTGCAAATAAGGGAAACCATGGGACCTATGTTTCTTTGTGCCTGGCTTACTTCACT